TCATGAACAGGGTGTGCCGACCGATGCTGGATCGGTCGGTGATCGTATTCATCGATGATATTTTGGTATATTCGAGGACTAGGGACCAGCATGAGGAGCATTTGCGGGAGATTCTTCGGGTTTTGAGATCGGAGAGGCTGTATGCCAAGTTCTCCAAGTGTGATTTCTGGTTGCGAGAGGTCCAATTCCTCGGGCATCTTGTGAACCAGAAGGGGATATTGGTCGACCCGGCCAAGATTGAGGCGGTGTTGAGGTGGGAGGTGCCGAGATCGCCCACCGAGATCAGGAGTTTTCTGGGTTTGGCTGGATATTACCGCAGATTTATCAAGGATTTCTCCAAGATCGCTGTGCCACTTACTAGGATGACCCGGAAGGGTGTTGTGTTTTCATGGGGACCGGAGCAGCAGTCTTCGTTTGAGACGCTTCGTCAGAAATTGTGCGAGGCTCCAGTGCTTGCACTCCCGGAAGGGATGGAGGACTTTGTGGTATATTGTGATGCCTCTATATCGGGTTTGGGGGCGGTACTTATGCAGAGGGGTCATGTGATAGCGTACGCTTCGAGGCAGTTGAAGCCTCATGAGTCGAGATATCCCACGCACGACCTGGAATTGGGGGCGGTGGTGTTTGCCCTCAAAATCTGGCGACACTATTTGTACGGGGTTCGGTGTACGATTTACACGGACCATAAGAGCTTGAAATACTTGATGGATCAGCCAAATCTGAATATGCGTCAGAGGAGGTGGTTGGATGTGGTGAAGGATTACGATTGTGAGATCCTGTACCACCCGGGCAAGGCTAATGTGGTAGCCGACGCATTGAGCCGTAGGGCGGATAGCGCCCCGATCCGAGACATTTGTATGAGGTTGACGGTTTTGACCCCGATTCTGGACATTATTCGAGGGGCTCAGATGGAGGCTGCAAAGCCGGAACACCAGAAGAAGGAACGGGTGGTAGGTCAGGTATCAGGATTTGTTACGGATGGTCGGGGGCTTATGACTTTTCAGGGGCGGATTTGGGTGCCGTTTGTGGGCGGTGCGCGCACTATTTTGATGGAGGAAGCACATCGATCGAAATTCTCGATTCACCCTGGTGCTACGAAAATGTATTTGGATCTCAAGAAGGAGTACTGGTGGCCATGTATGAAAAGGGATGTCGCTTGGTTCGTCGAGAGGTGCTTGACTTGTCGGCAGGTCAAGGCCGAACACCAGCGACCGCACGGTAAGCTGCAACCGCTAGAGATTCCCGAATGGAAGTGGGAACAAATCTCTATGGATTTCATTACCAAGTTACCGCGAACGGCGAGAGGAGTCGATGCGATTTGGGTAATTGTGGATCGACTAACAAAGAGCGCTCATTTTCTAGCTATTAGTGAGAGCTCTTCTGCGGAGAAGTTGGCTGAGTTATATGTGAGGGAAGTAGTATCTCGGCACGGGGTGCCAATCTCGATTATTTCGGACCGCGACGTGCGTTTCACTTCCAGGTTCTGGAAGAAATTCCATGAAGAGTTGGGTACTAGGTTACATTTCAGTACGGCATATCATCCTCAGACAGACGGCCAGAGTGAGCGGACCATTCAGACACTCGAGGACATGCTTCGGGCATGTGTGTTGGATTTCGGAGGGTGCTGGGATACCTATCTACCTTTAGCAGAGTTCTCGTATAACAACAGCCATCATTCGAGCATTGGTATGCCGCCCTTTGAGCTGTTGTATGGGCGGAGGTGTCGCACCCCCATCTGTTGGGGTGAGGTGGGACAGTTATGGGTAGCACGGAGATCGTGCTTCAGACGACCGAGCAAATTCAGATGGTCAGGCAAAGGTTGCTGACCGCTCAGAGCCGGCAGAAGAGTTATGCAGACAGGCGACGGTCCGAGCTTGAGTTCCAGGTTGGTGATCTCGTGCTCCTGAAGGTCTCTCCTTGGAAAGGAGTGATTCGATTCAGGAAGAGGGGCAAGTTGGGGCCCCGGTATATTGGTCCTTTTCGTGTGATCGCAAGGGTGGGTCGGGTAGCCTACCGTTTAGACTTGCCAGCAGAGTTGGGACAGATTCACGATACTTTCCATGTGTCGCAACTGCGGAAATGTATAGCCGACGAATCAGCGGTGGTTCCATTAGGGGATATTCAGGTGGATGCAAGTCTGAATTATGCTGAAAGACCTGTAGCCATCAAAGATCGGAAGATCAAGGTTTTGAGAAACAAGGAGGTGCCCCTGGTATTGGTTCAGTGGCAGCATCGGAAGGGATCAGAGATGACCTGGGAGCCGGAACGGGAGATGCGGGAGCAGCATCCGGAGCTTTTTGCCTAAGCGGGACTTCGAGGGCGAAGTCTTATTCTAGTGGGGGAGATTTGTAACAGCCCGGATCCCCAGGTATCTTCATTTCTTTTATATTTTGACATTCTGTGAGGGGACTCGGCGAGTCGGTGGTTGAACTCGCCGAGTCGGGTCGCGGTTTTTAGCAGGGGTTCGCGTCCGGACTCGGCGAGTCCAAGGGATGGACTCGACGAGTCCGCACTGTTTAATGAAACCCTAATTTCCCGGTCCTAAGCTCTATTTAAAGGACCTTATGGCCCTCATATGCGGCCACCTTGAACCCTAAGAGCCTCCATACGTCTGTAAGCCCTTGTGTGTGTGTTTGAAGGCCTTTTGTTCTTCATTTTGTGTGTTAGTGCAAGGAAAGGAGGGAGAGGAGCAAGCTTGAAGTGTTGGGGAGCTTAGATCTGTTGCTATTTCATCAAGGGGGTCTTCTTGAGGTAACTTTCTGAGCCAATCTTCGTGTTTTGTGTTGATGGGCCAAATCTAGGGTTTCTTCTTGCATTTCTTGGCTTGAATAAGAAGTATGAGAGGTCCCATGGGGATATGGGACCTAGATCTGGACTTTAGCAGGTCCAGGAGACCCCTTATGACAAGCTTTATGCCCATCCTTTTGAGTTAGAAGTTAAACTTGCCATATTAAAGGTTGTTTCTTCAAAATAAGCCTTGTATGCATTGCATGGCAACCAAGACTGAGACTTTACGTGACAAATAAGCTTGGGAAGGCCAGATCTATGTATTTATGGAACGGATCTGACCGCAAAAGCCAGTTTTAGCTGGTGCATGGCATGGACTCGCCGAGTCTGAAGAACAGACTCGACGAGTCACTTGAAGATTGTCCTTGAGACCATCTTGTGGTAGACTGGACCGAGTTGTGGGCGACTCAGTGAGTCGCAGAGAGTTGGAAAGGTTTTGACAGGTGGACCGAGTCAGGATGGGACTCGCCGAGTTGGCCTTCGACTCGGCGAGTTGAGTCGCGGTGGCCCTGTGATTCAGGCCCAGGTGGAACTCGTCGAGTCGGGGGAGTACTCGACGAGTCAAAGGGAAAATTCTTGAGAGTTGGTAAAAACGCGTAGACTCGCCGAGTCACTATTGTGCACTCGCCGAGTCTAGTCCAAATTGACTAAAGACTGTTGACCAGGTCAACCTGTGTTGACTTGATTTGGATGGTCCACCTTAGTGGTGCAAGTAATATTTATAGATTTATAATATCGTAGGAGGATTGCAGCTCGAGGGTTCGAGCCCGAGTGATTCCAGGATTTACGATTAGCAACTTAGCGAGGCATACGAGGTGAGTCTTCTCACTATACTGTACCCGGAAGGGTTTTGACTATGTGACCGGAAGGTCGAATATGATATGGAATATATGCTTTATGTGTGTTAAGTTATTTGCTATATGTGTCATGTATGATATGTTTGATATGGGCCGGAAGGCGTGGTCATATGGACTGTAAAGGTTGATGTGGGTAGGACCGGAAGGTTTACCCAGACGGGACGGAAGTCCCCTGAGACACATGGACCGGAAGGTCAAGGCCTGGAAAGGCGTATGTGCGTATGTTGTATTTTGGGAACTCACTAAGCTTTATGCTTACAGTTGTTGCTTTATGTGTTTCAGGTACGAGTGAGGACCGTGGGAAGGCGCCAGCGTGACCGTACACACACTCGGGGAAACTATTTTATCTTTTGTTATGTAATCGTTTGAGACTACGACGTTATTTTGGGAATCTAAACTAATTACTCATGTCTTGATGGTTGTAAAAATGAAAATTTTTGGTTGGAAATTTTATGACGTTACACATTCAAATGTTAAACAAAAATAAAACATTGCTAACATGGGTTATACATTCCTATAAAACTAACAAATAATCATACAACTCTTTTTCTTACTGGAAAGGAATGTCAAACATGATTACAAGTCTCCCTTAATCTTGATTACTCACCTGCTTAAGTAGAATGTTGTTGTTGAGAAGGTTACCTAGCAACAGAGAAAAACACAACACCTCTCCCACAATCACAACATCATTTACAGAGAAAGGTTGTCAATTACTTTCATTAAGACTTTCATTCAATCACAAAAATATTAAATAAAAGGGTGAAACATTAACTTACTTGTGATAAGTTGATCTCCCTTAGAGCAAACACAGCTAAAGCATTGAACACAGAGAAAGGTTGTCAATTGCTGATCTTTTCAATTTTAGTCCCAACTCATTTTACTTGGAACGAAGAGTAAAAACGTTACAAAAACCTCAAATAACGATCAAATTTGCAAGAGAATTTTGTAGGACCCAAATTGAACAAAATCAGCGATACTCGAGGACCAAAAATGTAATTTTTGCAAAAATAAGTGAGAGAAAGCACCTCAATTTCCTTTACTTCAAATTCTTGGGTGTGTGACAAACAAGAGTTACCATAAGTTTCTGAGGCCAAACTTGACCCATTCAATCTGGGGAAAAAAAATATGCAAATTGCAAAATTACCATATTATCCCTCAAAAAGAAAAATAGGAATGATGCAAGTGCAACACTCTTACAAGTCACTATCGAGATACAATGCAAAATGATTTCCCCACCAAGCGCTAAATACTCAGTTGAACAAAGAGTAAAATACTGATTCACCCCTAATAAATGCACAATTAACATAATAAATCCCAAATAAATATTAAAATTATAAAAGATTTTTTTATATATTATCAAGAAAATGCAGTACCTATGGGGCGATATATAACAGGACGCCCTGGTGTATTTGTAAACACAAATGTATCATTCGATCCCTGTATAGTATTTACTCATCATAGTGAAAAAGGGTAGAAAAGTCTTTTGTCAACATATAGAGAAACGAAGACAAGACATTACCAGTAGACTTAAGCCAGGGCAAAGATTGCTTCTTCTATATAAGGTTGAAAGAGATATGCCATGCCTCCATGTACTAACATATAAAAAGATAATGATATATCAAGATTCAAGAATAATGTGAAACTGAAAATATGATGAAGATGAAATTTTACCTGTATAGTAAGACCCATTTCTTTCCTTGACTGAGAACAGGGAGTGCAACATAAAGATCAGAACGTGTATTTTTGTCATAAGTTGTGAAGGTTCTGACATTTTTGGAAGTTTATCAGAAGGAAAATCTGAGAACAAGAGCCTCAACAAGTGCTCCAGTTCCACCAACAGGGTATTCTAAACTACAACCTGGTTTATACATTCTGCAAACATATAAATCTGCAAATTGTGGATATATATACAGGAAAAGATTAGACATTTAGAGAACTATAAAATATGAAGGAATAGAATGGATTCTGTTTGGTTGGAATGGAATGGATGAGGACATGTGGTAATGGAATAGCCCATTCGATTCCTTCCTCAATTCCATCATACCAAAAAGTAAAACTACCTTAAAAGAAACTTTTTAGATGATATGATTATGTACCATTTCTGCTGAAAGAACACCATCGGATTTCACTCCAGCAAGAAGAAAGACAAAAGATCCACCCAATTCTAATGAAAGGATATTGAGTCCCAAGGAATCAAACTATTTCTAAAAAGGGCGTAAAAGCTTTGTAGCACCAGAACAACCCTTGAGGTCCCATTTTTGCAAATGATTTTTAGGAGTGGATATGCATATCTAACTCCACAGTAGAAACAACTCCCAAATCACCTCGAATAGATAAAGGTGGCAAAGCCATGGCAGCTGCGTATTGTACTGTGGGGTATTCCTTCTTGATTTTAGATTTCACTTGGATCCATGATCTTCTTGCATATATATACATGACCATAAATTATGATATGACTTTAAAGTTGAAAAATGATATCAACTTTAAAAAGGTTAAATGCAGAAAACTTATTTACAGATTATATAGAAACACTTATTTCTATCATTACTCATGATTTTGTTATTTTTCAAAACAAAATAATAACTTTCAAATCATACATCCAAACACCCCCATTAGCATTAAACCAATTCATAATCGTTTATCTACTAAAATAATTATAGTCACATATTTTATTCAAACAGGAACCAAAAAGACCTTACCCTCGATAACAAGCCCATAGTAAAGCATAAAAATCAGTTGTTCCATGGAGAAGATGTCATTGTTCAAGCACACCTACAATATACGATCAAATCGCGAATTAGGTGTCATATAATTCAGTTGTAAGATTGTAAATTTCCATTGTTATCCTTATTATCAAAGGTTCTTAGGATACCTTTTTGGCAACTGTTGTCGTGTCTTTTTTGCCCTTGAACAAACTTATCCAACAATAAGTGGTAGAAATGCCCAAATGGTCCAAGATATGCACACCAAAAAGCTACAAACACTCCCGCATTAATATTCTATACTAATTCTTATATATATATATATAATATATATAATATATATATATATATATATATATATATATATATATATATATATATTGACTGGTGCTTTTTCATTTGTTGTAGAGAGAATAAGTTATGTGACTTTCATATCCTGATATTTTATATGTGACACCCCGACCTTACGGATACTGTCATTTATTCTTAGTATTCTTTAATTCATTAGGAATGGTGAAAAGTTTAACAGCAGAACATGGTAACCTGCTATCTGGTAACACCAATGGTTCCTAAGTGCAAATCAAGAAAATAAGAGCAACAAATATCGCAGGTTTCTCTCCCTCCTTGAAATTGAGCACAAGTCTAAAACAAAAGAAATATGATGAAATTGAACACAGGGCCTAAATTCTTTGAGAAATTTTCAGAATTCAATGAAGAACCATACATGTTCAACAGAAAAATCATAAATCAAAACCTATATATTATCAAAAAATCGGACCTGATGAGAAGAGGAAAAAGGAAGAAGCGTACCTGATGAGAAGGGGAAGGAGACTTCAAAAAATTGGAACAGATGAGAAGAGGATCGTCGACGATTGGTTGTTGCGGGAGAAGAAAATTGGCGTTGAAGTAGGAGAAGAAACGATGGAGTCGCTGATTTCTTCCTTTGGTAGGGCAAGGGTATAAATGGAAACCCTTCTCCCTTTCTTCCTCCTTTCTCAATCAGTCGATTTTTTCCATCTTACCTGATTAGATTAAGCTTTCCGAGTCAGATACACAAATTCAGTTCATCAAACGTCTTTATCTGACCGGGTCATCAAAAAAAGTCGTTGATGTCTGAGATTCGATACCTTGAACCAAGAAATCCCTAAATCTCTATGAGATAGGAGCGCCGACACCTCGATCGATTTTGTTGAGAAGCATCGAGCATAACACTAAATCTTTTGGGAGTCGCAGTCGCATGCCAGGAGAAGTGAATGTGATGTTGCAGTGGTCTGTTAGAGATAGACAGAAAGGAGGGACATGGATGGAGGAAAAGGGTGGCCTGGTGGTTCTAGGGTTTTATACAAATGGTGGTGTTAGTAACCAACGATGGTGATTGACCATGGAGTTTCGAGACCTTGACTTTAATGGAGCTATTGTTCTACTTGATATGGAAATCACTCTAAATTTGTAGTTGTAATACAGCTCTTCTATTGATTGAGAGGCTAAGAAAGTACTTGAGGAACTGAAGATAGAGGGAAGTAGATGAAGGGTTTTCGAACTGAAACTGTAGTTCCAATAATAGTCATGGTTCCAAAAACTGTACCCCTTTGATCAATTTCATGGCCTGGTGACCAAAAAACCTTCGATTTCACTAAGAACCGGAACCCTAGTTCCAACAATAGTCGATTTTTGGTATTTGATTGAGAGATAGAGAGAGAGAGAGAGAGAAGAACGATTGAAAGAAGGTAGAGGAGAGCTTGGCGGGGTTTTTAATTTTTCAGAATTTCATTTCCCCCTTTCCCCCACTATTAAAGGATGGAACGCGCGTTCCATTAAAAAATATAAAGTGACATCCTTAGACGACGCGCATTTTATTATAGGTGCCCTCCATGTTTTTTTTAGACACTAATTTAAGGCGCGCAATAATGTGTGTCTTCTATCCTAATTTTTTTTGAAGAGATGACATTTTTCTAATGTCACTCTCCTTTGCGTAACATAGATCAATGAGCGT